AGGGCCACCCTCGACGGCGTGTGGGTTCCGCAGTTTGTGCGACACTTTGGTTGACGTCGTTCTCGAGTCGTTCTCGAGTTCGAGAACGACGTCAACCAAAGTGTCGCACAAACTGCGGAACCCACACGCCGTCGAGGGTGGCCCTCCTGTGTTGCATTCGCGAACAATATGGCGCCAGCGGCGCTATATCTTTCATCCTAACGTCCGACGCGCCCGCTTCAATTGCGCGAGACAAGTGTATAAGCGTACAAGCTCTTTGTTTCCGGAAAACCTACGTCAAATCGGCGTATAACGGAAATTTGTGCACGGTGGTGCTGCACCGGCCGGGGCAGCAAGGAGCTTGGTTCGACCAAGTCAAAGTTCCCTGATAGGTCACGAATCACGCTGAAACTTCGTGAGCGCGTCCAAAGCGGCGAAAGAAGAGCGTAAGGGTGGCTGGGGTTGTCGTGCGGAATCGGCTCAAAAAAGTGCGTGGTTTGGAGCTTCCAAATGAGGTCGACGTACGTATGCACCAAATTTTCATTTTCTGCTGGTAGAGACTCTCAGGTAAGTACGTACCGTAAGGTTGCGGGTAAGCGCACGGTCCGGGGTTTCCACACGGTCCGGAGTCGTCGCACAGGGGTGCGATGATAATTAAATGGCATATTTATTTAATTCGATTTCCGCACAGGGTCCGACGTTACCGCACAGGGGTGCGATGACTCGCAACCTACAGTAGGGTAGTACAGATGGCGCCCGCACTTAAGAACCTCTAGTTTCGGCCGAGGCTGGGGTTCATTTTTGCTGATCATCCTCTTGTGGCCTACAAATGGCCGCTATACAGGCTTTAGTGTGGGGTTCTCAACCGAGCTCACAAATGGTGCTCAAGTTCTTGGCTTCCCATTTTTTGTGAGTCTCAATTATTTAACTGCTAAGTTCTTAGGTGCGACCGCTATCTGTAGTGGAGTGCGAGCGATTTCGGGGCAACTTCACCCGTCCGTGCAATTATGCCAGTGCTGGCCATGGCAACTTTCACCCCTGCAATTATGCCAGTGCTGGTCACGGCAACTTTCACCTCTGCAACCATGCCATCGCTGGCCGATGGCAACTTTCACCCCTGCAACCATGCCAGTGCTGGCATGTAGCTCTGCTGTATGGGTAGGTAGGTCATCGTCGCATAGTGTGAAGGAAATGAAACACATTGGTATTTCCATGGGATCGGTAAACTTGAGCATTGTCCGTTCAACCAAATAACCAGAAGAAAAAGAGTAGCCATCAGCCAAAACAACTAACAGCAGTAAGTATCATGGAACGGCACCATGGAACAGCAGCACTATTGTATCTTTTTTCCACGGAGTACTTCTTTCGCTACGAAATAAAACTCAACCCCGTCACTACCAGAAACACCGAACAGCGCCAACCTCCGTCCTGCTGGAATTCACACACAAGCATGTTCGGGCAACCAACCTGCCACTACTGGTACAACACAAGGGAGCGCGAGCCAAAACGTTCACAGATCATCCCCTCCCGCAGCCCCAACCCATGGCCCATCCAACAGCTCTACATCGCTGTCGCCGTCTATGATCTCCACTTCATCGTCACTGTCCCCCTCGGGAGGCAGCAACTTCGCGGTGACCTCCTTCTCTGCAGTCGCGATCGGGTTGGCGCCAGATGCAGATGACACCTCGGGTAGCTGGAGCGGCGGGAGAACCACGCCGGGGTGTTGTGCTTCCCACTCGGCGCGCTGCTGGACTAGAACCTCACGGTAGCCTTCACCAAAGTTGTGGGTGCACCACGCGTCGTCCTCGCTACCGTCGAGCGCAAGCGTGAGGCCGCACACCTTGAAGCACATCTTGACCGTTTCGGGGGTGATAGCTGTCCATGACTCCTAGCACCACGTCGACACGAGCCCACGCCCCGGCGGTTGAAGCTTGCCCGTCTTGGGGTCTGCGATCGCCGACGCCATGTACTGTGTGTACCGCCCCCGCATCAGTTGCTTCATCTCTCAGCATGCGATCCAGCGGCTGAAGAAGAGGAGTCAACCCGCTCGGGATGAGGATGACGGTGGTGTTTGTCCTCCAGGAGGTCCTCGATGAAGGATTCGCTACGGTGGCACCTGAACTCGTCCAACACCAAGATGCTGTGCCGCTGCTTGATGACGCTCCCGTGGTTAGGTCGAAACCTACAGCTTTCGGACAGCCACAGGGTGCACTCGCGCGATTCACACCAGCTTTTCTCCTGCACGCCGAAAGACATGCCGGACACAGGGTACCCGAACTTGGTGCGGTTGGCAGGAAGGACCTCGGCCGCAATGGAGCCCTTGCGGGGCTGAGTGTTCGTTCCCCGCCCCGCCGTGCTATAATAGGCGAAATGAATGGCTTGCCCTTGAAGACGATTCGCAGGGGAACCTTGCCACCGTCCGCCATGACAGCAAGATATGGCGTGGAATGTTCTTGCTCTTTTCCTGCGGGGAAGAGAGGGAGAGCAAGTGTACGGCGGGGAGAGTGGGAAGCTTTCGATGTTCAGCGACTCAAGCTTGAGGCTGGTGTAATACACTTCGACAGCACGAATCAAGAAACTACACAAGCACGCGAACGCAATACAAGCGCAAAAGCGATATTCAGTAACATCCGCAGGGGGAAAGGTGGGGCACGAAAACAAATATATGTATATTGAAAAAAGCTGGGCGATCCCGGCTGATACATAAGATGTTTACCAAAGAGGAAACAAAAAACTGAAGACCCATCGACTGGCGCCAGCAGAGACGGGACGAATACACACACATAGCGCGGTCGATGCTAAAAATTATAGGCAAACACAGGCATTGGTAAGGCACATACAGTAATTGGTATGGGTATTCAAAGGTGAAGTCTCACCTCCCGTGCTGATGCGAGCATCCTCTTCGCACCGCGCTTCTCCAGAGTTGTTTCCACTGGCATCTCCTGCTGGACTGGCGTTTGGTCCATATTGCCGAGTTCTTCGAACACTTCCGCGGCAGCCGACTCTAGCTGCACGGGACTGAGGTCCTTCCCTTTGATGGGGCTCTCGCCAGATGCAGATGGGTTGCGCCGAGCGTAGATCTCACCAGCGCGCTCCAAGAGGGCCGTACGAAGCTTCATCAACGTCGCGAACGCCAAACCCTCGTACCCCGTCGGGCTAGTGCGCCGGCGGATGCTGAAACCGCGGCGTTCGCGGAAACGATGGTACCAGGTCTTGAACTTGGTCCTGGAAGCCAATGTCTCCTCCGCCGACGCAGCGGCTGTCAACCCGCCGAGAGCGTCAGGCTTCAGCTCAAGCAGCTTGTTCATGACTTCCATGCTTCCGCAGCCGCGATGTTCCCTACGCTGCTCGTTGATGTAGTCCTCCAGGTCTTGTTCGACCTCGGCTGTCATAGGTGCCATACCAGCGTGAATCGATTTTGCCTTCGATAGTTTAGGCTTCTCCTTCACCAGCTTCTTCATTGTTGCCTCCTCGCCGACCCAGGTGATGATGCGCCTACGATCCACCCCGAGAACGTTCGCCGCTCCGGAATTTCCCACTGGTTGACCATCCTCGCAAAGGACTCGCGTGAATGTGGCTGCTTTCAGTTTGAATCTCATGGAGTAGCTCCCTTTCTTGCCTCCGGTCCTCTCGTTGGCGAAGTCAGGCTCGGGGTGTTTGCGCTTTTTGTGGTGTGATGGTGTGGGGTCGTTTGCCGCAAGCATCTCGTCGATGGCCTCTCCTGATGCCAACGGGTCCGCAGGGGCAGCTACCGCGCCCGGCAGAGGAAGAACCGCCACCACTAGCCCCTGAGATCGCGGCACCGCCCGTCCTTGATATCTCCGACATGATCGCCAAACGATTGTGGGTCGCGTGTACTGCTGTTGTAGGCACAACTCGACGGCGGGCAATTACCCATGTTTTCCGCCCGCGGCATTTTGTATTTNTCTCATGGAGTAGCTCCCTTTCTTGCCTCCGGTCCTCTCGTTGGCGAAGTCAGGCTCGGGGTGTTTGCGCTTTTTGTGGTGTGATGGTGTGGGGTCGTTTGCCGCAAGCATCTCGTCGATGGCCTCTCCTGATGCCAACGGGTCCGCAGGGGCAGCTACCGCGCCCGGCAGAGGAAGAACCGCCACCACTAGCCCCTGAGATCGCGGCACCGCCCGTCCTTGATATCTCCGACATGATCGCCAAACGATTGTGGGTCGCGTGTACTGCTGTTGTAGGCACAACTCGACGGCGGGCAATTACCCATGTTTTCCGCCCGCGGCATTTTGTATTTTGCCGCGTTTTATTTCGCCGCTTTTTGGTGTGTGTGTGTGTGTGTGTCTTGTGTTCTTTCTCCGAAACCTAGCATCCATCGGGCTAGCTACTGTGGTTGGCTATCATGCGCGCGTGTGTGTACGTTGCGTGTGGAGCCTGCAACCGCAGCACAGCTAATGTGTCCGTGCGTCTGCTTTCGTTCAAGTACCGCACATACTCAAGTTGTCGCACAGGGGTGTGCGTTGAAATTCTTGATAATATCGCCTCCAGGGTTTACTCAGGACCGCACATACCGGAGTCATCGCACAGGGGTATGCGTTGAAATTCTTGATAATATCGCCTCCAGGGTTTACTCAGGACCGTACATACTAAAGTCATCGCACAGGGGTGTGCGTTATGTGTCAAACCCAAATTTCCGCACAGAGTATGGAGTCATCGCACGGGCCGGAGTCATCGCACCCCTGTGCGATGAAAACTAAATAGCGAAAATGTTTAAAAAACGATCGCACGGGGGCGCGCTAACCCGCAACCTTACGGTACCTGAGAGAACACACATTGTTGTTGCGGTACTTGCCGCGTATTTTCGCTATGGTCGTACANTGTGTCCGTGCGTCTGCTTTCGTTCAAGTACCGCACATACTGAAGTTGTCGCACAGGGGTGTGCGTTGAAATTCTTGATAATATCGCCTCCAGGGTTTACTCAGGACCGCACATACCGGAGTCATCGCACCCCTGTGCGATGAAAACTAAATAGCGAAAATGTTTAAAAAACGATCGCACGGGGGCGCGCTAACCCGCAACCTTACGGTACCTGAGAGAACACACATTGTTGTTGCGGTACTTGCCGCGTATTTTCGCTATGGTCGTACAGTATTCATGCTACAATACACATTATTCATGTCACGATGCACGCGTGACTTCTCGGAGCATGCCGCATGAGGGTTAAGGTTAGTCAGGTGTTCTTATGTGAGGTGTTTTGCGCCAATTTTCGCCTATCCGACATTGCTGTTCGTCTGGTTGCTGTGATGCCTACCACAACGTTACGCATGGGTGTCCTTCGTTGCTGTACTTGGTTTACTGTGGTGCTTGGTATGGCACACGACACGCCAGATCTGGTCGCTGCAGTCCTTCTTACACACGCATCCGGCGAACGTTGGATAGAGCTAGAGAAGAGTGCCGATGCAATATGATGCCAAAGGAGGAAATCTGCAACCGCCTTATAATGATAAGGAGTGTCCTGCGATGACATCATCGGTCTGCGCATCCACGCCTCATTGACCCTGAGTATTACGACGCCAGTTTGAACAGATGCCGCAACGTACCTACTACAGAAGGCTGTGCTCACCCCCCCCCCCCCCCCCCCCCCCCCCCCCCCCCCCCCCCCCCCCCC